AGTCCTCGTCGCCGCCGCACTCCTCTTCGCACATCGACTTCGCGCCGTCGTCCGAGTCCAAGTCCGGCTCCGCGCCGTCCTCGCCGCTCTGCCGCGACCGCCTCCACCAGCCGCTCCTGCACCACCTGCCCCCGGACGCGCTCCCGTTCCCGCATTACGGCTACGGGTACACGCCCGTGTCCGCGTTCGGCGGTTACTCGCCGCCGGGGTCGCTGCGGCTCTACTACGCGCGGAGCCGCCGGCCGCCGGCTTCCGTCGCCGTCGAGCAGCGCGCGGCGCCGCCGGAGCGCGTGTACATCGGCTACTCCGAGCCGGCGGCGCGTGGGTACCCGCAGCATTACACATATGGAGGCGAGCCGGCGAGGGCTGGGAGGGCGGCGACGCCGCCGCCTCCGTCGCCGCCAAGGGCGACCTCGTGGGATTTCTTCAACGTGTTCGGCGACCACGACATCTACGACAACTACTGCTACGACGCCGGGGCCACGGCAGCGGCTGCGTACACGCCGAGCAGGAGCTCGCGCGAGGTGCGGGAGGAGGAGGGCATCCCGGAGCTCGAGGATGAAGACGTCGTTGTCAAGCAGGTGGCCAGCGAGTACTCCGCTCCCGGGAGTGGCGCCCGCAGCCGACGCAGCTCGCTCGGCGGCGTTAGCAGTGGCATCGCCGAAGCCAACCAAGAGGAGAATTCTTGTTGGAGGTAACAGAGAAATAATCAGCCAGGGCTTACAAACCCAGGCGACTGCTCTTTCATATATAGGAGATAAGTAGCACATTGATTACATTGATGGCTCATTAGAGCATTAACTAAACAATGACTAATGCTGGTACTTGCACACGATCACTTGTCTTTGCCCAAGGCCTTAATAGCGTAAACACAATTAAGCACACAGATAACTAAGTGATAGCGGGAGCAGGACTTAACTTCTACAGTTCTCCCCTAAGACACGCTTCCCCCATCCTTGATCTTCATGATCCCAATCTTGCTTCTCATGTCTTCAAACTTGGCCTTGCCTAAGGCCTTAGTCGAGAATATGCCGATTGATCATTTGTGGCGACGAACTCGATCTTGATCTCGCCTTCTTCAACACAATCTACGATGAAGTGTTGTTTGATTCTCGATATGCTTGCTTCTGTCATGAAAGGCGCAGGTTCTTTTGCAAGTGCTGGTTGTCAACCCTCGTTCCACAGTCTCCACCTTTCTTCCCAACAAATCGCCAACAATCTTGACAACCACAGGGGCTTGTGTTGCTGCTGAAGTCATAGCCACATATTGACCTCACAACTAGACAAAGCCACCACCCTCGCTTGATAGATTGCCGGTGACCAAGTGTTGCCAAAAGAGAAAACAGACAACTTTGTTGTGCTTTTCTTTGGAGTCAATATCACCGCTAGGTCTGCGAATCACAGTAGCCCACAAACCTAGCAGAATTTAGGGCTCTTTTGAAGCTGAGACCATAGTCCAATGTTCCACCAAGTACCTCGGCACCCTCTTGGCGCGCTTTGGTGCTCGAGTGGTCGGTTTCTCCAAGAATCTGCTCACATAGACGAGAAAGCCAAATCAGCTGGTATGAACCGGGTATCTCAAGCTTCCAACCACCTCCTATCTTTGAGTTGGATTCACCTCCTTAAGCGATGCTATGCTTGCTTTGAGCTTCAGCGCTCTTCCATTGGGTGTAGGCCTTTGGATTGCAATCGGACATGCTTCCCAGTTCTAGGATTTTCTTGGCATAGTGAGTGCGCCTCATGGTGGTCCCATTCTTGCCTTGTGCACTTCAATGCCAAGGTAGAAACCGAGCAAACCCAAGTCACTCATCTCAAAAGTGGATTTCATCCTTTCCTTGAAAGCCTTTACTTCATCTTTGATTGCTCCCAGTGATGATCGGATCATCAACATAGACCCCAACCAAAGCAACACTTGAGCTGAACCTTTCGTGTAAATTGTCGCTTCATGTTTGCTCTGTTTGAACCCCATTTAAGAGTAGAGTCCAACTTAGCGTTCCACGCTGCTTCAGCCCATACAAAGCTTTGTGCAGGCGATATACCTTGCTTTCTTCCCAAGAATAGCAAAAGTGGGCTCTTTGGACATATACTTCTTCCTTGAGCTCTCCATTTAGAAAAGTCGACTTGACATCCATATGATGGACAGTCCATCCTTCTGGGCAGCTAGAGCAAGCGGGGCTCTGGCATAGCAGAGCGAACACATCCTCATAATCAACACCCTCTTGTGCACAAACCCACGAGCAACAAGCCGAGCCTTGTGCTTGATCACATCTCCTTTCTCATCTTTCTTTGACTTGTAGACCCATTTTAGAGAAATTGGCGATGGCGGCTCGGGGAGACACAAGCTCCCAGTGCCATTGCGCTCAACAACAGCCAAGCACTCCTCTTTCATTGTTTGCCGCCATGCAGGATCATCTTTTGCCTCTCTGATAAGAAATGGGTTCCCAGTGGGTGAGGTGGAGCTCTGCGAACAAGTTGCTGCTTGGCCTGGTGGCGGAACTTCTGTTTCCCAATATGCCATCTATAGTGCGATAAGCGCATTTGCTCGTCGTTGTGATAAGTATCCAAGTTCCTCATCATCTTCCAAGGAGTCACGTGCTCCACTTGTGAAATTTGGTGGGCTGGTGATGGTGAAGGCGTTCGGATGTCTCAGACACCTCTTCTCTGCATCAAGCACCGATTCTACTTCTTTGGGAAAGCTTGTGTGGCGAGAATTGAGGAGATGAGTGTGATCAGGCTGAACCTTCACTCGAGGACTTCTTCCTCCCAAGGAAATTCCACCACAAAATCACTACCATTTTGCCCCACGACGTACACTGCTTTGGTGATGTCCAATCCCAACCTCTTCCTTCATCAAAAACCACATCTCGGCCGACATGAGACATCGCGAGATCTTTGGATCAAAACTTCGATAGGCTTTTTGCTCCTTCAAAGATAGCCAATAAATACTCCGCTTCACCACGATCATCAAGTTTCACGATTGAGACAAACGGGCGAGTATATGCCACACAACCAAACACCTTGGTTTGGGTGCTCGGCCATGCCATGCTTCATAGGGAGTGACATCACCTAGAGCCTTGGTTGGTGACCGATTCGAGAATATGCACAGCATCATTGCCCCCCCAAAACTTGGTCGGCATAACATTTTGCTTGAGTAAGGCACGTGCCATGGCCACCACGGTTTGATTTCTACGCTCCACCACGCCATTCTGCTGTGGTGAATGAGGAGCACTTGTAATGCCTTTTGACTCCTTCATTGGCACAATAAGCAAGCAAATTCTCGCAATGATAAACTCTCCTCCATTATCTGTCATGAGAACTTTCGATTTCACGCCCACTCTCCACCTCTGCAGAGCCTTCACCTTCTTGATAGCATCTGCTGCGGCATCCTTAGATGATGATAGAACCTTCGCCCACATGAATCGTGTGGCATCATCTACAGCGGCGAGAATATAGCGATTGAAGTTCTTTGGTGTAATCGGCCCACAGAGATCACCATGCACCAATTCAAGGTGATCCCGAGCACGATATGTTGCTGCAGCAGGAAATGACTGTTTGGTGGTGACACAAGTGTCACACACTTGCTCAACATGATCGATCTTTGGCATCCCTCTTGCCATTTCCTCCTTGCCAAGCCTCCGCAGGGCCTCAAAATTCAGATGCCCAAAACGCTCATGCCATTTCCACGCCTCTCATCCTCCAAGATGACAAGACACACCTTGTTGTCTTTGTCTTCATATCTGCGATACATTACCCGGTTCGCGCCACGCCTCACCAGCTGCTGCGTTCCCAAATCCGCAGTACTCCATCATCAATCACCACCTTTGAGCCATTCTCATCAAGTTGACCGAGGCTCATGATCGAGTTCTTCAACGCCGGAATGAAATAAACTCCATGAAGAACACGATGCTCACCAGTCTTTGCTTCAAAAACAATTGAGCCAACGCCCTTGATTTCCACCTTGACGCCCCCGAACCTAACTGTGCCTCGAACGCGTGTTGAGTGAAAACAGGTCACGCCGCCCAGTCATGTGGTGTGTTGCGCCTGAATCAAGGTACCAGCCACCAGCCATCTCTTCATCATCTGTTCCCAGATAAGCACGCGCACGTGGCTCAAAGAACTCAACGCTGCTGTCTTTGTATAGTTGAGCTCCGCTGCGTGCTCTGTTCCATCTCAATGAAGCCGTGAGACAGAACAGCTGCATCTTCCTCACACTCAAAGAACTGGCACGCCCTTCATGTCCTCCTTGCTGCCCGGCTTTTGGTTACACCGCCACGGCCTCCTCCACGGTTTCCGCCCGCCGCGTCCACCATGATTTCCTCCCCGTTTGTTCCATCACGACGCGGCTGGGGACATTCACGCGCCCAATGCCCTTCCTGATGGCAGTTGAGACACGTGTTGGGGCCAACACGGCCGGCGCCATTGCCTTCTCCACGTCTGCCGCCCACGGCGGCACCTCTGCCCGTCCGCGTCCACCTCATGGTGGGTCCTCCGCCTTATTTGGTTCTTGAAACTAGAAACCGCTTCTTCTTCGCACCTTTCTTCTCCTTCCTCAACGCAGACGCCATTTGCTCTCCTCGAAGAGGCTGGCTTGCCGTTGATGGACACCGGCTCTCATCACGACTTGCGCTTCACGGTCATCCACCGCTTTGAGCCTTCTGTCACCTCTTCAAGCGTGAGCGCCTCGAAGTCGAGGCGCTCAATGGCGGCGACGATCTCTAGCGTGCTTGGTCGGCACCGTGCGCAGAAACTTTTCCACAACACGCGCCTATCGATGTCCTGTCTCCATGAAGCACCACGGCTTTGGTGCGAGTTGATACCGCAGGCAAAATCCTCCACCGCTCGCCAGCTTGGCGTCAATGTTCTCCCACTCCCGACTTAGTCGCTTAGCGCCATTTCGGCGGACCACATCCCACACCGACACGAGTCGCGGCGATGGCATCCCATGCCTCTTTTGCCGTCGCCTTGTCGAGGAGCGGAGCCCCAACTCCTTGGGCACAACAATGACGATCACCTCCAGAGCTTACTTTGTCGTCGCGAAATCTGACTCTGTGACTTCCCAGAGGTGCGCATCCCGAGCTTCATCGTCTGGCTCCACTCATAATAATTGGTCTTGTCCAGCATTGGCCATGATGTGCCGCTGCGGAATCATGATGAGACCACCCGCCTTGCGGCGACTCATAGCGACCGCCGCCACGAGTGGGATTGAACGCGCTGTCCCTGCTGGCGGAGTCGCGCCGCCGGTTCCTCGGTCCTCCTCTTCTTCTTCCTCCTCCTCCTCCTCATCTCCTTCTCTGCTGCTATATCTCAGCTTGCTCTCTTGCTGTATCTGGCCGGCCGCCTCGCTGGGTTCTTTGCTGCTTCTTTTGCCGCCTTGCCAGCCGTGCCGCCGCCTCTCTGCTTGCCTTGGTAGCGCAGCCTGCCAGAGGGGTCGCCCGGCTCGCCCTCGGTGGCTCCCTTGGTCTTCCTAGCCCGGGCTTCCAGAGGAGGTTGACGTCATGGAGAAGATGAGAAGGTGAGAAGGTGTCTAACCTAAGCTCGGTACCAAATGTTGGAGGTAACAGAGAAATAATCAGCCAGTGGCTTACAAACCCCATTGCTCTTTCATATATAGGAGATAAGTAGCACATTGATTACATTGATGGCTCATTAGAGCATTAACTAAACAGCTAACTGCCTGGGTACTTGCACAGTCACTTGTGCTGCCCAAGGCCTTAATAGCAGAAACATAATTAAGCACAGATAACTAAGTGATAACTGGGAGCAGGACTTAACTTCTACAATTCTGTCGTTGATAAGGAAGTGATTGGCAGGGGCAACGTGGCGCACCAACAAGCCACGACGCAGCGGAATGCTGCCGCGCCGGCTGCCCCCGGGGCTGCTGCGAGTGCAGACGTTGCCGGCCAGATCAAAGCGCAGTTTGTTCGGGCTGCGGGCGCCGTCAGGGAGCTTGCGCCGGTTCTTGAGGTTGGGAGGCGGAGCTACCATTCCCGTAGCTCAGTTTACCACGGTGAGCTATTCGTTCATGCATCTCTTCTGCTTAGTTGTGCCCAACGCTTGCAGACACTGATTGATTGGTTTACATTTGGAAGTAGTTTCATCTCGGATGGTGTCAGCAATTGTCTTGCCGCATCCGGACCATGGAGCTGTCGAGCCCTTGGATGTTGGAGAGGAAAAGGTGATAGAAGGAAGGAGCTTGTCATTGACGCTACAGAAGCTATACATCTGGGAGAAGAAATTGTACGATGAGGTTAAGGTATGGGCTCGTTCTTGTTTCATGATGAGGAATTCGCCTGTTATCATTAAAGTTCTCTCCAGTTTTTATCTATGAAACACAAACAGCATCATGTTGGAATAGGCTATCTAGTATTAACCTGAATAAATGAATGGATGACCCACGAAATCGCTATGCAGAGTGACTTTCTGGTCAGGATGCAAATGTGGTCCCACTTGTTGCATTTGGAGCAACTGAGTACTAGTCTCAACTAAGCGCCTCTTATTTTGAGTTGGGTGAAAGCATCATTCATTTTATTACTACCATTAGCTTGCAATTTTTACGCCATCGTTAAGCTAGAACAGATAAGAACGTATAATTACCAAGATAAAAATATGATCCCATGCTCCCAGCATCCCCCTCTCCTAACACACCCACTATTAAACATAAACATACATCCCCAACCATGTTGTTATAGTTACTTTAAAACTGTCCTGCCTATCTTGTACCAGCGTGCTTCTTATTTAAGTAAAGGGTTCGCTGAAAATAACACCTTGAAAAGTGCCTTTCTTGGGACCGAACATCCAGAATAGGAAGTACCCTTGAAAAACAGGGCTTTCAAATTAGAATAGATGTATTAAATGCTGTCTTGTTTGTTGCAAATGGTAGTTTAAGGCCGGTCTCAATAGGGATGTCATGGGAGTGTCATGCACATTAATTAGGGTGACACATCAGCATGAGAACACTTTTTGCATGAAATGGTGAGGAGAGAGAACAAGTTCGTTTCATGGCCACGACACTCGCCAGCTCTGTTTCCAAGCTCTCGGTAACCCCACGACACCCGCATTGAGAGGGGAGAGTTTCATCCCACATAATCAATCGATGCATATGATCCAATCATTGTACAGCAATTAAATGCTTTACTTAGTTTTGGAATTGGTGAAATGAAACGCTGCATTGTGAAGGCTAGTTTCATTCATTGTTTCATCCCGCTCAAGCTGATGTGGCGTTTTGGAAATCATGTAGTGAAACTTTTGAGTTGGTATGTTTGCCTTCTGATGGTGCAACAGTGCCTGTTTATAGGCTTGTGTTTAACTATAAATGATTATCTATGTAGTAAACCAATAATCTTTTGGGGTAAAACTCTATTTTCAACAATGCAGGCTGTTCTTTCTTATGTCAAAGAGATTACATGACTTGCAATCCTCACCCCTGGTGGTATCTATGTTGTATTGACAAATTATTTCCTTTCTCCTCTTTCAGGCTGAAGAAAAAATGCGCCTGCTTCTTGTGAACAGGGGCGGATCCAGGATAAGCTCCTCCACGGGGGGGGTTGTAAATAATGAAGATTAGGGCTAGAGTTAAGAAAATAATGGTGATTTAGAGGCTAATGAACAGTATTTTACATGTGATTTAAGGCTCCCGAGGGGGGCTGCAGCCCCCCCTGGATCCGCCCCTGCTTGTGAAGAACTCAAAGCGTCTGAAGTTCTTGGATAAAAAAGGTGCTGAAACTGAAAAGATTGACAAGACTCGAAACTTGGTCAGGAAACTGTCAACAAAAATCAGAATAGCTGTGAGAGTAATTGCTAAGGTTTCAAAGAAGATAAACAAAATAAGGGACGATGAATTATGGCCACAAATTAATGCTTTAATTCAAGGGTATGCTATGCTCTTTCGCCCTGATATATTTAGGCAGATACATAGTATTGGTTTTCTCTGATTACTACTGTTTGCTTCCTTTATGCTGGTTGTCTGCTTGTATAACTTGTACGATCATATAGTTCTCTATCAGAATAGTTCAGTAGGATATTAAGTTTTAGGATGCTGCACCATAAACCAAAGACATGGCAGTTAGCACAAGTCAATTCTATAGAAACAACCCCTAGTCCTGCATTTATTCATAGCCAGGGTTGCAGTAAGTTTGAACGTGCATTGTCTTCTGGTTCTTGTACGTTTTTATCATTAATAGAACTTCTGATAATTCAAATTTTGTACATGATATCACACATTTAATATTTATGCGACAGCTTGTGTACATCCAAATACTGATATTCCTCTCTGTAGGTTTGTGAGAATGTGGCAAGATAAACTGGACTGCTACCAGAAACAATGTCAAGTGATATCAGATGCGAAGGACTTGGATTTTGTTTCTGGTGGAAGCAGTCGAGAATTGGCAATTGAGCTTGAGCTGGAGTTGATCAAGTGGATTGTCCATTTTTCTTGTTGGGTAAATGCGCAGAGGAGCTTCATAAAATCACTGAATGGATGGCTTGCACTGTGTCTTAAGTCTTAACTACAAGGCTGAAGAAATAGCTAATGGAGTTCCTCCACATTCGCCTGGAAGACTGGGTACGCCCCTAGTATTTGTCATCTGCAACAGCTGGTCCCAAGCTATGGATCGTATCTCCGAGAAGGAAGTGGTTAACTCTGTGCAAGCTCTTGTGTCTACCGTACGAAAGCTGTTGGAACAACACGTTGCTGAACAAACAGAACAGATCATTGCAATCCGGGAAAGAGAAAAATGGAACAAGATATTGGAAAGGAAGACCCTGGAGATTAACAAGGAGGCAGACGTCCTGAACAGGAAGCTAGCCCTGGTTCCAGGCAGGCAGAGCCTGCTTCCAAGCACACATACGTACCAGGTGCACAACCTCGAAGCAAGCAGTTTGCAGTTAAGTATGCGGCGTGTTGTTTATGCTCTAGAAAGCTTCGCTTCCAATTCCCTGAAAGCTTTCGAGGAGACCCTGAGGCATGCTGAAGAGGAAAGGGCGTCCAGAGAGAATGCCAAAGCTTCATAGCCTGATATTGCATCCGACAGGGAACAAGACAGTATACGAGCACCTCCTAAAGGCGGGCATGCAAATGCAAATGCTTTATGCGGAAGGCGGAATGCAAATGCTGCTCGGCTGAGAATTTTTTTGCTAACTGACTGAGGTTTGTCGATGTCGTTCAGGCAAACTTCTCATCTTCGTCTATCAGCGTGCTGCTAGTCTGTTACCCTAGCAGCAGGTACATATAGGTGTAGTATGCTTACGCGGATTACAAGTTTATATGCGTCTGTATGCTATTTCCTTTTTGCCTGACGCCGATATAGCTCAATCCCCAGTGTGCAGCAGTAGAGCAATGTGTTGTTCATGGAATGTGGTATTAACCTGTATACATATTGCTTTTTCGCGAGTCAAGAATTGGCCAGGTTCTGGCTAAGAAACGAAGTTGAAGTCATTGGATGAGTATTTGCTAGATTTGTTCCAAACAATGCCTAAATTTGATGCAAGTCTAGCCAGAAAAAATTACCAACGTTTGGATAAAGAAAAATAGGTAATGGCTAAATTCTGGACAAAGAGGTAATCGTTGATGGCGTGATCTCGCTGAATCTCTCTTCCGCTGGGCCAGAGTTTAACCACGGCGGAACCAGACGAGGTGGGCAGCGTCGTTTCCTCGATTAGCGGCGAATTACTTGGATGGCTTAACGTTTTTCTTCGGGCTCGATTACGTGCGAGGGGTCCGAGCCGTTTTGCTGCGAGCCGAGAGCTACGGAGACTCGTGCGGGATGGCAACAACTAGTGGGCGTCGGACGGCAATTGCACACACGCGGCAAAAAATACCAGGTATGCACGGTGGTTGAATTACATTACTTTGGACTCCACCAAATAGGGACCCCGATCCGGTGGAGACGGTGCGCGCGGAACCCTTGTACCCGTCGCCCCCAAACGGAGGGAACCGGATCCGTTCACTTACGTCCGCTGGCAGTGCACTCGTTGATCCTCCTCCGCACGTGGTCAGCCGGCAGCGCCGATGGCCTTGTTTCTGGTGCGTCTAGCTAGCGGACAAAATTCCCGCGTTCCAAACCGACCCTACATTTCCTCCAAAATTCATATGGAACGAGGCATAGAAATGCATTCCATAGGAATTTCATAGGGTTGAATCCTTTGTTCCAAAGGGCCACATAGGAAAAATTCATATAGGATTCAATTCCTCCAAAAATCCTATGTTCCAAAGGGGGAGTTGTGGAGCAAGTCAAGAGAGAGGGCTATTTTGTTGTTGACAATCTGCCATTCCAAACGGAGGGCCCTCGCTGCCCTCGTGCGCATGAGGCGTCCCGGAGCCTAGGGATGAAAACGGTCGGTAAAACACCCATATCATTTTTGTTTTCATATTTTCTCATCCGATCGAAAACGAAAACGGGAAAGTCGGAATCGAAAACGAAATCGGGATCGTCGGTTATTCGAAAACCAAACTTGTTGGGACAAAAATATACCGATAACGGTTCGGAAACGACAAGTCATGTCGGGAAGACGACAACAGCATACATGTACCAAGTCACATCCAATTACATAAAACTAGTGCAAACATACAGTCTCACATAGTCAAATAAAATCCAAGCCATAATAACGTAATCTCAGACAATTCAACCACATAAAGCAAATGACCCATTCTTTATTAAATCAATTTTCGTAATTAATCCAAAGCCAGGTCTATAAAATCCATATCGCGCGTTAGACAGGAGCATGGGCTGCTGGTGTTTGGGTTGAGGCCTGCCCTTTAGTGTGGGCCGCCGCTAGGATGGCCCATTACGGTGGGAGCTCCTCTGACCAATAGAGGAGTTGTTCGTGTTCTGTGCTGCCGTCCGCCATGGAAGAGCTTTGAGCTGCTCGAGCCAGCGCAGGGAGAGGGAAAACAGGGTGGGGGATAGGCGGAGGAGGGTGCCCCGAGGGTCCCTGGCAGGGGTGGCAGATGTCCCGGACGCCGGACCTCGCGCTCCCTGCCCTGGCTCGGTGGCTCCCTGCCCTCGCCGCCCTCGTGCGTATGAGGCGTCCCGGAGCGGCGGAGCCCATGATACGCGTGGAGATCCGGCCTCGTGCGCCTGTGTGCGAGGCGTGGAGATCCGGCTCCGTGCTCCCCCCTTTTTTTTTCCTTTCTTTTTCTGTTCGATATGCTTGTGGTCCTTGTGTGAGAAAAGAAAAAGAAACTAGGGCATCAAACGGATAAAATAGTGGAACTATTTGGTGGAGTACAAAGTAATGTAATTCAACCACCTAATTTTTCCAAAAAGGGAACCCCAAACTTTCTCTATTTGTTCATATGCAATGACTAAATGCGCTATATTTCGTTCATATATGGCGGACCGGAGGAGCTGCCGAACAAGATAAGGCGGAAACTGCCCGACAACTTTCAAAATTGCCCGCTGTTGGGCATGTAATAGCTCTCATGTACCTTGATTTTTTTTTCCTAGTGGTTGGGTAGATGCTTTCTATACATGAAACAGTTAGAAGTAAGAAATGCACCCTAGAAGTACTGCGGCTGTTAAGCTGTGTAGTTTGTACTATTCTTCTGTAAAGCTGGGACGTGTTTGGTTCAGCATTTTGTAATTTGTAACGTATTCGCATTGCAGCGTTATCTGATTCCATTAAATCGTGTTTGTTTGAAGTCACTCCGTAACGGAATACGATGTAATCAGATCCCAACCTATTCAAAGTCCTCGTCTCCCGACGGAGATGGGGGAGGATCGATCCATGTCGACGAAGGCCGGCAAGCCACACGCGGAGGCCCAGGAGCCGCTGTTGCACCACCCTGTCCCGGCGGCGGCAGGGCCTCGCCGCGGCGGACTGGCATGGCGTCGCTGGACAAGCCGTGCGGCCAGGCGTTCGGGGCGCGGCACTACCACCTGCTCGGGCGTCTACAAGCAGCACGCCATGGCCGTGATGGGGCTCGCCTACGTCCCCATCGCGCTCGTCTGGGCGTGCGCCGGCGAGATCATCCTGTTCTTCCTCGGCCAGGACCCAGGCATCGCCGCGGAGGCCGGCGCGTACGCGCGGTGGCTCATCCCGTCGCTCCTTGTCTACGTGCCCCTGCAGTGCCGCGTGCGCTTCCTGCAGCGTCGTCCTCCCCGTCATGGCGAGCTCCGGCGTCACGGAGGCTACAAAGGCCAGAGAAGCTTCTTTATCCCATTCCATTGCAGGAGCAAAGCCAAACAAAGCCAGGCTGTCTTTACTTCACGAAATGAAATTTTTGATGTTATATCGGATATTTTGGAATGTTGGAAGAGGTTTTTGGATATTAATAAAAAAACTAATTACATAGCTCGTCTAGACACTGCGAGACGAATTTATTAAGCCTAATTAATCCATCATTAGCGCATGTTAGTTACTGTAGCATTTATGACTAATCATAGACTAATTAGTCTTAAAACATTCGTCTCGCGATTTCAACCAAACTGTGCAATTAGCTTTTTTCGTCTATATTTAATACTCCATGTATGTGCTATAAGATTTGATGTAATAGTTTAGAGTGAAAATTTTAGCAACTAAACCAAGCCTCAGTAATCGCGTACATTGTTTGCCAGTGTTTTGTGATACCGTTTGCGATACCGTTTGTATTCTGCAACCAAACCCACAGCAGGGCGTGGCCTTTTGTGTAAAAAACTCTCTATTTGTAGAAAGTGACAATAACAGCCTACCAGCGCCCCTCATGGTCACATCGAGAGACAGTGGTGGATCAGCATGTGCAAATCACTGCTTCACTGTGTGTGAATCGCCAAACAAGTATAAAATAGTTCCTTTGTTTGATTCACGATCTGAATTGGTCCACGTGGATAATATTTAGGGCCTTTTGACACGGTTTATGTTGACTTTGGCTTCATCTATTTTGCGTAAATCGAGCCCTGTAGCGCATGAAGCCGTTTTGTAAGTCGGGGTTAAAATGAACTAGAAGCCGAAAAACCCAGTTTTTCTGGCTTCACTGACTTTAACTTCACCGATAAAGTCGTTTTAGATGAGGCACGCCAAAAACGGCTTTAGTCTCGTGTCGAACTGCCACTTGTCTTGTAGTGCACGGACTTTACCTTCTCATTTGGAGCCGGATCGGAGGCAGATAACTGCGAGCCACCAGGTAGGTAGCTCCATGAAGTGTGGGAGTGAAAATTACACGCACTGCCATGGAACTCGAGGTTGAGACTCGAGCGCCCCTAATTTTTTTACTATTTGACTCCTTTTTTGATGAAAATTTACGTTTGGTCCTAGGGAGACTTAAATTCATCTTTGAACACTGGGGTTGGCGCCATGAGTCCTGACGCCGATGTAACACGTCTCGACGCCACATATCTTGGCACCGAGGTGTCTGGCCGTGCACTGCAGGGAATCCTAGGTGGCGTTGATATGTCCGAGCTCGGCGCCGTAGATCTTGGCACCGACCTGTTGGGTGCGGAAGACACGGCCGCGAGGCGGACTGCGCACTGCGGCGTGCGGCTGCTGCATGCGCCCCCTCCCTCGGGACGCGTGGCTGGGTTCGCAACGTAAGCTGTCCTCGCACTGTGAGTCTGTGACAGGCTGGCTTTTAGCTGTTTGGCGCCACGCCGCGAGGCTGAGCACGACGTGACGTAACGGAGCGGCACGCGCTGTGGGTTATCGTTCGGCGCGGAGCACCACGTCCCGTACGGCAAACTTGAATTCAGGTACCCCATGTTTGGAGTTTGGTGTGCAAGAGTTAGATAGAGAGGTTTGGATAAGTATTTATCAATACATCTTAGTGTGTGTAGCTACACAGCTGCACTATTTTACATGGAATACACAGTTGCATTGTTTTGACGGAAGAATTTAGAAAGAGAAATTAGCTTGCAAAGAATGAGAACAGGAGAAATTGTTAATGAGGCATTGTTATTTGACCATGTACTTGTGCAAGTTCTTCATTAACACCGCCTCGTTTTGTGTTTCAATCAGAATGTGTCTGTGTTTCGGACCGAGGGGTCCTCAACCAACCAGTAAATGTGAACTGCGTGCCCCTAATTCCGGATGGTGATGCA